GAAAGGGCCTATTGCATAATAGTTCCTCTATTCTACACAAGTACTGTTGTTTTCTTGCTTTTATGCTACATAAAGTACCATATTGATGATGTTGCTTACAATGATCCTAACATCATCAACCAGAGATTTCCAGGCATTATGCATTACTAAGACACATGATTAGGATAAAAACTCTAATCTAAGATGCTGCAGACCTCTGCAATTTGAAATATAAATGATGATGAACGAGCATTAATCATGTGTGTTAAAGTTACTTGCTTTTTACTATATGACAGCAAGAGTGCAAGCGAAGAAAGTGCTAAATTGTCAAGTAAATGTGAGAGGTAGAAATCCTTTTGATCATTATAAGTAAAATTAAACTAATAAAATTAAACTAACAAAATTGTTGGGACAATGTATCGAAACCCAGTATGCGCACATGTTGTCAGATCCGAGGTGGTTGCAGATGACGATGATAAGTGGTTGGTCATTGATATCCTCTATCTTCTAAATTAGCCTCTGCATTGAGGAAAAAAAGAAACACATATGTCATTTTTAACTTTTTAGTTGGTCGCTTAAGTTACAATTATTTGGAAAGTTTTGAATCTTAACTCACCAGATCGTACATGGTGAAAATCACGGCAGTGAAGGTTGATATGTTGATTATCAAGCCGACGAGTTCAGCTCGTAACTTTCCAGGAAACACGTTCAGAAACACGTACATCATGATAGCTGAAGGCACCATTAGTGCGGTGCGGTGCAGAGGAGAAGAAGAATGAAGAACCTCTTTCGATTGGAGTCGACATAAACAAACACTGAGATTGCGAATGCAATCTCAGCCAACATGCCAAATCCATTGATTATTGCATACGGCCCGTCGAAATCATTAAAGATTGGCGTTGCGTACCTTGAAATAGCAAACGGTGTTTGTGTGTTATTGAAAGTTCTTTAATCGTTAATACATAGTTAAGATATAAGAAAGGGCCTATTGCATAATAGTTCCTCTATTCTACACAAGTACTGTTGTTTTCTTGCTTTTATGCTACATAAAGTACCATATTGATGATGTTGCTTACAATGATCCTAACATCATCAACCAGAGATTTCCAGGCATTATGCATTACTAAGACACATGATTAGGATAAAAACTCTAATCTAAGATGCTGCAGACCTCTGCAATTTGAAATATAAATGATGATGAACGAGCATTAATCATGTGTGTTAAAGTTACTTGCTTTTTACTATATGACAGCAAGAGTGCAAGCGAAGAAAGTGCTAAATTGTCAAGTAAATGTGAGAGGTAGAAATCCTTTTGATCATTAGATAGTGTATGCTGTATTGATGAATCCAAAAGCAACATGAATATTCGTTGCTTTTGATTCAACGAAAAAAGGGGGAAAATGCTACTTTCTATTGTAGGGAATGTTGTTTCTTGTTGCAATTTTGCATGCCCAAGTCTCTTTTGGGTAAACACTATTATTATATAACACTGTTATATAACAGTGTTATATAATCTTATGTAATGTGTGGCTAATAATAAAATCAATTTAATGATATCATATTTATTAAACTATTATGTAAGATTAACTAAATTATAATAGATAATAATAAAGGAAGTATTAGTTAATTATAAGCGAATTATGTTACATAAGTATCACTTTTAATTAAACTGTTACGTAAAAAATAAGTGGCCTTATAAAACATTTGTGTAAATCAAAATGATTTAATCAACAACATAGTTTATAATTTAGAAATTATCATTCAAACTTTTATCGTAAAAGGATTATAAGTTCTGTTTGTTTAACTGAACATAAGAAATTATTATCCTCCATAAAATTTGCGTATTCTCTTAGTCATTAAGACTTATGTTGTACGCTTTGTTTAATTGATACATTCGAAATAGCTACACCTCTGTAAGATTGATGTGATATATCAATTTATGTAATCTATCTACTAAATATATATGGAGATTCATGTCTCCAGTTTTCTCCATTTAAAAAAGAGAGTTGTTATTTGCCGCCCACAATGGTGACAAATAGTAATTTGTCGGGAGACAAATAGCAGGTCATTTTCAAAAATGTCGGCTTGAGAGTAGAGATGACAATTCTCAATCCAATTCACCAGTCCAATCCATTCACTTAAATATCCAACTAATCCAAATGACAAATTATAATTTAGTACCTATATTTTTAAAATTTACATTTTGGTACCTAAACTTTAGTTATACGAAAATAGCATTAGAAAATTATATTTTGATACCTAATTTTTTTTCTTGTGACATTTTAGTACCTAAAGTTTTCAAAATTTACATTTTGGTTTAAGTCTTGGATGTCATTTGAATTCAAGGATCAATCCACCAATCTGTATGATCAAATCCATGAATTCACCAATCCATGACCCAATCCACTTGATTCATGAATCTACCAATCAAATCCACCAATCAATGGATCCAATCCATTTGCCACCTTTATCACGGAAGGATATAATCGACTATGCGCCTGCTTCATCTCTCACACTGCGTTTCATTCCGCGTTCAGAAAATCATTCCACCTACGCCCTTCGTTTCTTCCGCTTATCTTACTCCTCATCTCCAGTGAGCAAATTCTTTTTAGCACTGGAAGTTAAGCATAGTTCAGAGCAGTGGCGGAGGCAGGATTTGAAACTACCCCTGTCCTCTTTTGGTATTATAAATATATAAATATTTAATGAATATAATTAAATTAATAATATCTAAATAATTTATTTTCATATATGAAAAATAACTACTATTACAATCGGTATTTTCATAAACAACCATGACGAGTTTTCATATTCGGAAGAAACACACAATACATTCTTTGTCTACACACTTAAGTAAGTCCTTTTCAATGGATCTCACTAAACAACCATTAGCAAACTGGTCGTGAGTTTGACTTCAAAGTTCATTCTTCAGATAGCTCAAAGCTTAAAATATTTTATCGACACTTGCTGTCAAAACTAGTGGAATCGGCGGTGCCACTGGACTGCTTCAAGATTGCTTGCAAATAATCGAATAGGCATATAAAGAAAAGAACTATTCCAATTGAGATTTCGTTTATTGTATAATAATTAATTCATTGTCAATTTATGATAAATAATGAGTTGTGATATAATAACGAAGTACAATGGTGTTGTGTTACATCCTTCATATAAACATATATGAAGTATTTTTTTCCTTCCAAAATTTACCCCTGTCCCGGGACAATGCCCAATAGGGCTGCCTCCGCCCCTGGTTCAGAGTTAATTTTGAGGGTTAGACTTGTAATAATACATTGGGAGATTAATCTTTGGTACTATGAGGAGTCTGACTCTGAGACTTGTACGGGAAGAATTGTAACAATTTCGTTGAATCTATTATCAAGCTTTTCTCTTGGAATCATCAAATCTTGGTGATAATTAACTTTTAATTTCTTAAAATACTTGGATTTACCTCTCTCTTTTAGGCTTATTGAGCGAATTTGGAACTTACAACGCAAAATATCAATGGTGTGTTTCGGGACTATCAATTTATGTCCTTCACAGGGTACTCCAGATTTGAATGGTAAGCTGAAGACAATGAAGGTAACTAGAAAAGAAAGTTGCATGTTTGGTTGGATGCCAATTGGAGTAGATGTAGTTTGACACGTCACTTAGAAATAGCATGGTTAGTTTGATACAAACAATTATTTTATGGGTTGTTTATTTTTTAGTCTTTAATCTTCGTGATGTTGATTGACCCTTGAGGTCAAAATAATTGTTTGTATCAAACTAACCATGTCATTTCTAAATGATGTGTTATACTTATTGGGGAATTCATGCTAGCCACACGCCTCTCTAATCTTTGAATTCTATGCTTTCCCTCTTTTGTGGTTGTATAGTCTGATGGGTCAAGAAGATTGATAATCTTTAACATCAGGTGTCCAAATTCGATAATGTGTCGTATTGAGTATTTGATATTAGTTTACTCTTCGTCCACAATTTTGTCTACCTTTACTTTCACATGAAAATATTCATAGTCTAGTTAGCCATGATCAATGCAGTCAAAATCGGGATTTTGATCGTAAAATTGTAGGATTTTAGAATTTTACTTAGCGATTCCGATCCTGATTTTACTATAAATAACAATTAAAATAGGATTTTAGACAAAAAATGAAAACAAGAGGGAAACCCCATGAGCTCTATCCCTTCATCATGAATTATTTTAAGTTACGCATTAAATAACAATTAAAATAGTAATTTTGGAACATTAATCTTGAGAATTATCATTTTAAATGTTATGTGTCTTTGTGTTATTAATGATTTACCTCACTAATATTCTTATATTTTATGTTCTATATGGTACTTAAAATTCTACGATTTTACGATTCGATTTTACAATTCCGATTTTATCCCAGTTTTCGATTTTAGGTAAAATCCCGATTTTAACTGCTTTGGCCATGATGCATACAATGATTCAACTTTGAAGTATAAAATGCATAGATTACTCCAGCGGCAGATCCAGGATAAGATAGAGCACTGGACCACATTTGAAAAGAAATAGAGAGGACTGGGCCGTAACCCGACGAGAACATAAACGAATACATAAAATAGAAAATTTACAAGGGCTATACTAGCTCCGGATCTAGGGGAAGGCTGGGCCGTGGCCCGGGGGCGGCCCCCTAGATCCGCCGCTGGATTACTCCTTTGGGTTTTCTTAATTCAAGCTAAGAATATTCTATATGAATCTTAGCATTGGTTTCTCTAACAGATTCTATAGTGACACACTCCAACGCTTGTGGGCAAAACGGTCACAAAATTTACCGCATATTTATTTGTGCAAAATATGTAAGTTTAATGTTGTATTAATGGAGTTTTCACGTCATTGTGACACATCTTGAGTATCTACTTAGTATTTTGCTCATACAATTTTGTATCTATAACATGATAGAACCAAGATGATAAAATGTAAATATTGGGAAAAATATCCCATAGATATATTGAACTTTAATATATTGAACTGTATTAAAGGACAATTATAAACAATTTCTTAGTAAACATATATATCGTTGTTAGTTGCATATCTTTGCTATTAACACATATTATAAGCGGTAACAAGTAACAACACATACATAATACATAATAATAATAATCAAACTCTCTGGGGCCAAGAGGCCAGAGCAAGTGCTAGTATATAATATGTGCAAATTCTCCATATTTCAGTTAGAAATTTAAGCTCTTGCAAGGCTGCCAAAAGAAACCAATTTTGCTGGAGAAGCAAACATTCTCTGAAGAAATCTACTGAAATTTGTTGGGGAAGAAAAATAAATATAAATAAAAATCATCCCATCCAAAACCCAAACTATGCAGGCAAAGCAGCTTCAGGATCATGGAAACCAAGCGCACCATCATTCAGAAGCCGCAAGGCTGCTCCCTGACTGAACTTCCTGGCGAACAAGAAGCACGATGAGTAGACGTTAGCCACCCTGCACCACTCTGTCCTGTGTCCACTCTCGTAATGGACGTGGTTGATTCCCTGCTCCACATTTCATGAAACAACTGGAGTTGGCAATATCTGAGAAAGAAAAAAAAATGGAGATTCAGGGGGTAAAGCAGTAAGCCACCTTGATTTCTTTGATCTTGTGAGGAGCTGCATCAGGTTGTTTGAAAGTGACAGGGTGCCACATTTGCCTCCAGTCTTTCGCTGGAGAACTGTCCCACAAAGTGTAGGTCAGTGTCCTCCTTTCGACCTCGTGTTCCACCTCATTCATCTGCAAGTAAATATTAAGGATTCGATTTAGCCAGAGGTCACGGAGCTTTGATTTTCTTAAGTGATGGTGTAGAGAAGTTTGTTGATGGAATGGTTACAGTGAGCAAAGTTTGCACATAATGCTCGTCAGGTATGCAGTTTGTCAGCTTCCTTTTCTGGAATAGGAAGTTCAGTTCCTGTAGACAAAAACAGGTGAAAGTTACACAAGGAAAAAAAAAAAAAAAACAGGTGAAAGCAGACAGCAAATTCGATGTGAGGAAATAAAGCAAATTTCCTTATTATTATTAGGACTTAGGAGTCAGCTCACCAGAATCTGCAGGATTTTCTTAGGCAAGTTCCTTTGAGCTTTCCATCGCTGAAACAAAGGGTGACGACTGTTACATGAAAGTGTAGTGGAAAAGGTTCAGCTCTGGAAATGTATGAGAATCTGAAAGTACAGTACCTTGCAGTATTTCTTGAAGATGGGATAGACGAAATTGTCGTTGACAACAAGTTCAGCATGTTTTCTCACCAAAGTGACCCACTGCTTAGTAATTCCAGACATAAGAACTTGTCACTGTCAATTTGATATCATGAAGCCTTAAGCTTAATGTTTTGAGTTAATTTTGAATTGTTACACAATCTATGAAAATATACCTGCGATCCTTTTCGCCATTTACTTCTGGGAATTGTGGCAGACATATCAGGGTCATAACGGCCTGTTGACTCATCAACAAAGCTGCAACAACACACAAACGGCTATGGAAACCTCAACTTTTGTTACAAAAGAAAATAAGTCATACCTAACATGTTTTGAGGACCCGAAAATGGAGCTAAAATATGTGCATTTACCTGTCAACAAAGCTCTTGGGGGAGGACATTATGTAGCTGTAAGTGTAGCTGAAGTCGTACAAAGGGACACAGCTGCAGGATTAAATACCAGAATACATATATAAGAATATACTAATGGCTGCAGTGGCAGGAGAAGAGGGAAACCAGTGAACCAGCAAACCTGTCAGAGAGAAGAACAAATCTCTGATTGGCTGGATCATGAAGAGCAGCCTCGAGCAACAACTTTTCAGCTTCAATCATGGTTGGTTCACCCCATACAACCTGATTAACACCAAGGAGGACCACAGATCAGAAGCTAGAAGCCAATAATAGAATCATAAGATTATATGGATCATGAGAAATAACTATAATGTTTTCAACAGAGATTGAATTCAATTAGATCCGGAGCGAAAGATCTAACTATTTAGTGTCTAGACATTTCTTTTTTAATCCTGCCTTAAAAGTTAAATTGAAAGTGGAAAGATCACTGTGATATTTCACGATAATCTATCTCAACAGTTAAATTGATTCTATTATCTCTACAGCATTTATCAATTTGAAAACTGTAACATTCCATGTACAATCCTTCAATCACACTCAAGGTGGTCGAATTACAGATTTTACATGGAATAAAAAAAGCTACGCAAAATTGGAATATTCTCAAATGGTATTAACGAATTGTATAAAAAGCATTTTAGTTACCAATAACACCCTATAAAGTTTGTCAACTATCACTTTGTTTACAACAAAATCATTACTTTATCCATATTCAGTATCTGTTAGGCATGACCGATTTAAATTTTCATTCATCAAACCAGGCTAGAAGCCTGTTAAAAACCTAGGTTCTGCCCTGGTTCTACTGAATTCATAGATTCTGCTATCAGGAGACATAAGATTCTATGACTACTACTTTTTGTATATAATCATACTATATTTGGTTCATTAAACTCAAAGTTTTTCAGAAGTACAGTTGAAATTTTGACGACACAGGTATACACAAAATGATCCCAGAATCTCCAAGAACAAAAGAAAACTTGTGGAAAAGAACAAAACTACCCATGATTGGATGGAGCAAGAAGAAACAATGTTACCTGAACACTCTTGTTCAGCTGTCGACCATGGAAGAACTCAGAGTCTGTGGTTGTCTCATTCAGAACAAAACCAGGCTCGGAATGAACATGGACTGAGAATTTGTCAGCATCAGCATTCTGCAACCCACAAAAAATATCAGAGACATAATGTTCAAACGAAAGAAAGTGAAGGAACCAGGATCCGAATGAGATGAGAAAGATAGGAAACACAGACTCTGAAGAAGTTGTCCCATAGGAAGTCAAGAGGGAGGCGGTGGCGAGCAAGGAAGAGGAAAGCAATCTTAGGGGTGCCTTGGAAGTTCTCATAGCTAGAAGAGAATGATGGATCATGAGGAAACCGGTTGTGGTGTTGAGGATTGAATTGGAGATAAACCAGAAGGCACAAAAGCAGGAGAAAATTGGTGAACATCTTGCAGAAAAACCATGAGAGATGGTTTAGCTTTGGTGGGGATGAAAGTAGCTTCTTCTTTGTCATGGTTTAGCGAGGAGTTGAAAAGAGATGGGAAAAGGAACACCTGGAAACCCACTCTGTTTGCTCACTCTTACAATGTGGGGAGTGCAGAAAGGAAGAAGAGAGAGAACCCATTAAAATAGGGTGTTTAAAGTGTGTGAAGTGAAGATGAGAGAGAGGGAGAGGGGGAGAGGAGGCCGTTTCAAGAATGCAAAGTTGAAACTGCATGAGAAGGAGAGGACTGGTTGTGCACATGAGCAAGAAAGCTCTCATAGTTAATAGCATTTATGGGTTGTCTTTAACCTAGAGGAATTCTCCTCAATGAATCAATAACGGTAGAAGGATGAAGAGAACTTGTTACTAGTTATTGCAGGTGTCTAGATCCTTTTATCATCCTTCTGTTCCCTGTTTGCAGTAAGATAGAAATAGAAATGCACCAAATGGAAGTAATGCTTAAAAGGTAACGAATATGTAAGAAAAAAGAAGCTCCATGCAAATAATCGAAGTAAATTGAATTCAAGTTGCTTTTCCATTACATTCAACTTGATTTGACAAGAATTTCCAACAACAATGGACTAAGGAGCCATTGACGGAATAAATAAATAAAAATTACAGCAGTCTAAGTACAGGAAGAATAACTTATGGATTTCTTTTTAAGAATTGATAAAGATCACTGGAAGTATGGTGCTCTGAGAGTACATAAAAGTCCCTTCCCTTTCCCTGCCTCAGCTACTTCCAATTTCTGGGGATATACTGAAACTGAAGCATTCCCTTTTGGTCTGTAAGGAAATTCAGTGTCCATTTTACTTTAGTTAGTGTTTCTCATCAGGTAAGCTACTATGCAGCCCAAGATTCCTCCAACGACAACCTGCATTATGGTTCAGCAGCATGATTTAAAACGTGTTTTTCCTACCCTCGAAACTACTCTTTTTTCCTAGAGTAATCACAGTCCGCATGGATGACTCTTCGAGAGTCGAGAGAAGCCATGACACTGGCAAATGCTCTCTAAAAAGGAAGCAAACCTGGAATGGAGTGTGCCCAAGTAACTCGCGCAGAGGTCTGATACTGGATAATGGATGTTCTGGAGGAAACTCGCACACAATTTGATTCAGCAACTGCAAGAACAGGCAGAAGGAAACAGCGAGACATGATCATCTTACGCCGCAAATGTGGAATGTGCCAATCACATAGAAGCAAAGAATCTGTGAAAGCGATCGCTCACTTCAGCTTGACGACCGGCGTGAAGTCTTATACCCGAAGCATCATACATCACCTGAAAAATGGAAGCATGTTTCAATCACATAACCAAAAATTAGGGGAACTCATGAATCCACACAAACAATTAGGCCCCATTGCTGAAATTCTACACATAAGGACAAAAATCTTCAACTGCATTAACGAAATTATAAGCTCATTGTTTCACACACAGGAGTCTCATGTGGGTAAAGATGGGAACTAGCAAATAGTGTCAGTACGATAGAACATACAATACAGGCGAGGATAACAGCAATGGCGAAAGCAGGGGATCCGGTTCCATCTTGTAAGCCAATGGCCATAGCCAGAGCTGTAACGGTGGCGGAATGTGAAGACGGCATTCCGCCAGAGTCCACCATCCTTTTAGAATCCCATCTCTTCTCCTTGAACCTGATCATCTAGGTCCCAATCCACACCCAAAGTTTTCAAATCATGACTTCCTCAATCTTTAGCACAAATCAAAGAACTCTTCCTCCGATTTCAGGAAATTAAATTTATAGTTAAAAGGAGGGGGAGTGGCGAAATGCTGACCAAGTGGTGAAGAGCTTGAGGAACTGAGCGAGAGCGAAGGCGAGGAAGGCCGTAATCAACGGGAGGTTGCTCGGAAGCAGCGGCGATGGCGGAGAAGAAGAATCCGATGGATGCGTCGGAGGAGTCAGAAGCGCCGAAGAGGCCGTCTGAGCCATAGAGAGCGCCGCCCTGCCCAGTGTCGCAGCGTCGGCGGTGGTCATCACCTCATCCATCATCTGTCGCCGGAGCGATCGAAGTTCAGATCAGAGTATGCCGATCGTATAATTAAGCTCCGGAGGCGGATAGGCGATAGGGCGATCTCTCTCTCCCCCTCTTTTTGCTAATTGGCTTTCTCATTCACTTGCGTCGTTGCATTATTGACAGAAGAAAGGAACAGAGGTGGGACTGTTTGCTTGCTGACGATTTTTATTTTATTTTATTTTATTTCATTGAATATGATTTGGTATTAGGATGGAAAAGGTCAAGGATATAGAACAAAAGAGTGGAATTTGGGCAAATAAGAATGGGCCTTTGCCTTTCGGTAAGCTAAAGCACAAAAAGAGATGCTGGCACAGACGCACAGTCACGCCGACCAAATCAATTTTTAACTGAAAAAGATTCCGATTCCATACAGTTGGAACTTGCCGTGAATGCTCCTTCATCTCCAGGAAGGCAAATTTGTTTCTAACTGTAACGAATCAAGCTCTCAATGGATTGATTAGAACCTGATCGAATGTAATTCGACGTGAATAAGATTCACAAAACCTCCTAAAACTGGACGAAAAACAAATCGAATCGAATCAAACACGCTTTAAACCATCATCAACTACTCATGGAGAAAGACATCTCTACTTGCGCTCTAGAAGCACATCTACACTGCCAAAATAGCTGCAGCTTCCATTAAAGCAAAGAACTAACGAATAACCATACTATGACAAAAATCCTACACAAGAAGGATCTCTATCTTTATTATTCTTTCTCTGTCAATCATGCCCTCTCAAAATGATTGCTTCCCTCTATACACCTCAAACTAGCAAACTTTTGCAAAAAAGCCCCCCCTTATCTGATTCAAAACACACTAACACCATCTCTCACCCACCATTTTAAGACTAGAAAGAGCATTTACAGTGGGGGAAAAAGTTTTGAAGGACAAACCCTTTTCCTCCACAAAGGAGTGTCATTAGAATCAAAGCAGTGAACGTTCCGGGTCCTCGGCCAGAGATGAAAAACTGTGTTTACTGCTGTGTTTACTTTGATGGCGCTTCGTCGAGACCAAGTCCTCGTCGCTCTCATCGCCTTCATTGTCTACCTCTTTGAAGGCTGGATGCACATATGCACTGTGGAGGAAGCTTTTCAGGTTGAGGTTCGGCTCCTTGGCGCGCTCTAAAGTGTCTTTCCTCATCGCTTCCTGAAAAAAAAAAGGGAACTTCACTAAGCAAATGTGGTTTTCCAATATGCTATGGCATTGGAGGGACTAAATGGGAGTGTGCCATTCTTTTTTTACCAACCTGTAATGGATACTTAACAAACGCAGGTTCATATCTGCCTTTGCAGAAGCGATGGAACCACAGCGTCAACACGGGGAGTGTGATGAGCAATGGTGTTGATTGCGCAGCTTCTTTTGTGCTCATTAGCCCCATCAACAGCAGTTGAGAGACGACCAATGCTCCCACGATTCGTCCATGGACATCGGGCCAGAATGCTGCACCACTCTCGTACTCCTGGTTGTACACATTTATGATCTGGCAAAAATGATCATGATTCATGAATGAAATCAATCATTTGTCAAGACATATTGGATGATGTTGTCACTGGAAAGGAACATAATTTATGTGACTGTGAGCTTGCCTGATGCCGATAAACAACGAATGCCAGGGCGAAGAACAGGATGATGAAGGGAAGTAAGATAGGGGACACCACTGCATATACGAGGCCAAGTAGGAAGTAGAGTTGTATCTGCGGTTCGCCTGTGTTGAAGCCAATTGTTCCTGGATCCATTGCCTCTTCTCTGTCCTTCTCGGTCTTTACCAGGAACCAGTTCTTCAAGTGGTAGATTACTAGAGGTTTCAACCTAAGTATCTCACCAGCAACTCCAGCCCACCCATCAACCATTATGTAAGTTATGAAGAAAGTCGCCTTCATAGGAATAGAGACTCCAACCGTCTTTGGTATCCTGCACAATATATTACAATCAAGTCAGTTTGCTATCCTTGAATTTGTACCATGTAAAATTTCAACAGCTAAATAGTAGTATGGAGAGATCATTCATACTCGGTTGCAGACTGGTGGATGAAATTGTCTAGCTGCTGAAATGCAGTTCCAGTGATTATGCTGCCGAGGAACACATTGATGAACTGGAAAATGTAGTATCTGGTAGCAGATCTCCTTTCCAATGTGGAAAGGCTAATGAATCCCTCGAATTTCGACATTATCATCAAGATGGAGGGGAGAAAGATGAGGAACAACTTGAGAGCGAGTCCAGGAAGGAAACCTTGGATAACAGACTTTATGACTTTCCTGCAACAAAAGAAGCCCAGCAAGTATAAGTGATGGCTATTAAATTTCAAGTAGAGACGTGAGAGCAAAGTAAAGAAAGAGATTGGCATGAGAAGCTACATGTCCTTACATCTCAATGATTGGTTTCAGAAATGGAACTGCTTTCTCAATTCCCTCAATATTTGCAAGGGACTGCACAAATAAGATTGGGATCATGAAAAAGAAGGTGAGGAAGAAGAACGCGACACCAATGACGAGCCTCCTGATCGCGAGTGAAACATATGGTATGGCCAAGTTGTCCCAGTACACGTCCCGGGGTTCAGGAGCCCATTCAGTCAGCCATTGTGTCGGATTCCTGGATTGCTGTGTTTGTGCACAAGTGGCAGCAGCCCATCTTGTTTTAAAGGAAACAAATGCAGCTGGCATGATTGCATCCCGGTTGCTCACCACCTTCTCTCTCTCCGTTGAGATCTAGAGAAAAGGTTAGAGAAAGTTAGGAGCATTCTGGTTGAAAGCCAGGAGGGTTATGGATTGTTCATGATGTGATTCCAGATATGTGGCTTAAAGAACAATGAACAGTTGGCTTACTTCTCCTGATATTCTCGCAATCTCAGATGTGTAGTGGTCGATTGCATCCACCCTTGCCCCACAAATGCCAAGGAAACCAGTCTGTTTGATGAAATAGGGAAAATGCATTAGTGAAGAGAACTAAACCTCTAAGTATAATAGTGCATCAAGCTCTCTCTTGCATATAAACAAGATACTCTTGGAGCAAGCAATAATACCTTTGTTGTGGGTTTCGTAGAAGGATTTCTCGAGAATTTGATTTGGTAGTAGTCTAGCCAATTCTGACATTTTCTCTTCTCGGCGACTAAGCTGGAAAATTTATTGGCATTGTAAACAACCTGCAAGATGATTCAATTCAGTAAGATTCTAGGATCCTTCTCGAAACTTATACACTTCCCGAAATCTATGGACTCGAACCTGTTGAGTGAGGTAATGGTCTGGATGATTGACTAAGAAGAAATGCTCTACAAGTTCACCAACTGATTCATCAGGATCTGGAGGCACATTTTTAACAAGTACCTACACAAACAAAGAAAGGACACTCTAAGAACTTGTTTCTTAACACCCCACATTGTAGACTCATATCTAACGACGCTTTGGCTGAAATTGTGAGATAGAGAGTGATGGCGATTGATAGGGGTTCGTGTTACCGTGAATTGATCAGGGCGACGATGTTCTGATGCAAGGAAATGCAACCGCATTGAAGCCACAGTTGCATACTCTCTCTTTAACACATAGCATGTCCAGAAAGTAAAGGCATAAGCCATCACCAAATGGGTCCAGAACCTGTTCACCCAAAGGACAAAGCAAAATTAATCAATAATCAGGCAGGCAATACATCATCACTTGGCAAAAGGGAGTGACTATTACCTTGGTGATCCAAGTGGAATGTTGGATATAGAAAGCTTATCCAAGTCACTGAAAGTCAAATCAGTCTTCTCTAATGTATTATTTGTCCAATTTACTGGCACCAAAATTGAAAAAGCCAGAACTGCAATTGGCACAAATATCTTAAGCCTGCAATTGGAAAAGAGAGGAAAAGAGGAAACAACAACACAAGACAATCAGGCATACATTTACAAGTAGTGATATTGATCACATTTGGTAACAGAAGTCCAAAATGGCCATACCCCAACAAGTAGATCCTCAAATAAACAGCAGAGTCCAACCCAGCATGATCAATTAGCTCCGGCTCCGGCATTCGAAGCGCTTCAGGCATCCAATTGAGAAACTTGAGATATGATCTGAAGTCCAAATTAACAAACTTCCCAACGAGTGTCCCCGATTCAATCGGACTAGTCCTTAAACCCTTGAGGTACCATTTGGGGAAGTAGACCCTATCGTTCCACGGCTGAACTCGGAGCACGGCGAATACAACGAGGAAAACAAATGCACTTAGTATGTTGATGCCTGCTGATACGCCTATATCACTTATTGTCGCCATGGCTAATGTTCACAGCAACTTTGCTCAAGAATCTGTTTCCTGCGATTGAAAAGAGAGACCCAGTTTAATCAAAACAGAATGGTGGGAATTCATCAGTTTTTTTCTCTTTTTTCATGTTGGAGTTTCATAAGAAAAGAAAAATCGTATGAAGTTTCATAACCCAATTGGGAAAACTATCTTCTAGTAAGATAAAGACGCACCCTTTTCAATCATACTGCAATTGGGCAGCCATTGAAACTTAATTTCACTCAAAAGAACAGAGGCTTCTCTGTTTTCCCCCGAAACCAAACAGATTGTGCCGATCTTTTTCTGACGGCTTCCCCTCTTCAGCATTTTACCCAGACAAACAAAGTAACCAATTTGTTTCTATTTGAATATTCCATAGAAAATAACAGAGAGTGTCCGAAAAGCCGCAAACTCTACTTATTTTACCTGTTCACGGGGCCGAACCGCCCACACTGAAGAAAGAACCCGCCGGGAACTCCACAATCGGAGTGCAACCCAATTTCTCGACCCCGACAGTGGAAGGCCCAGAAAGCAGAGTGCCGTTACTAAACCAGAGCCCTGGAAAGAACTGCCAAAGGTAGCAGCTTTCCTTTTCCCAGTTGAAGGACGCTTCGAACTGGCTACGTCGCCGGCAGAAAGTCCCGGCGACAGAGCTAGAAGTCTTGTTGAGATTGAAATTGAAAGCGAATATCAAAAGGAAGTCAGAGTTCGGGTCTTGCTGCCAGCCAGCCACAATGCGGCAAATCCTTCGGCGGTTTCTTTTTTAATCATAAATAAAAGAATCCTTCTTTATATATATATAAACGTATATATTAATTAACATTAAGATTAAGACGATTAATCTTCTGCCGTTACATCTCTTCTTAAATTTGCTGAGTAATTAATTTCCTTACGGAGGAGGATTATGATGATTCATTGGAGGTTTGTGGCGCTAAAAATAAAAGAAAAATACTGGCGCTATAAGCACGTGGCAGGCATGTGATGGTTGGTGGGAACCACCATTGTAACGGCTATTTTTCTTTTGTCTTTAGGGCTCCTCTTTGCTTGCTGGATAATAAGGAAATCAATCCTTCCTTTCCTTCTTGTAAATGATCCGGCTAATATGCAGACAGGATGCGGTGATCACTTGCTGATATGGTTCGTTGCGGTCGTTTACTCGTAATTGTATGTAGCTAATGTTTAAAATTATGCGACGATTTTATGAATCAACACATGCATCTAACGGTTGAGATCGCCAACCATACCGTTTATTAATATTTGAATGTATCCGACTTCAATTCTATCACCCTGCCAACGAAATTCGGGAAAATAATAGTAGTGCTATTGATAATGTGTGTCCTCAGGCTGATTGTATAGTGTATATGTATCTTTAGCTTTTAATACAGAAATTTGTTTCTAAATTTGAGTTATTAGTTCCTTCGTATGCGGATTCTCATGTATAATGGCGTTTCTGCATTCATATCTTGAGTTCTAAGAGAATGTTTATCTGGTTAACTGGGTTTGGTAACCGGCAGTGAAAGAAAACGGAAGAGGGGTTAAAATGGTAAGATATTAATATGCAAATTATGGGTTGTATTGACATAATTTGCGATCTGATCTCCTTAATCAAGTATCTATTCGTTTTATATCAGAATCATCCGTTATTGACAGTCTAATATATAGATGGTGGAATATGAAGCCGCAGCTTTAAATTCTTTACGTTTAATTATAGATTGAATTATACTCTGACATAGGAACATGCCCTAAGCTTCCAATGGAATACTAAAGGGACGAAAACCACCCGATCCATGCCATTTCATTTCTCGAGGGAAACTCCAGTCTTTAGTGGGTTGGAGAAGCATAAATAATCAGAAGCAATATTACAAGTCAATCAAATTGGGAGAGTTCCACAACACCACAAGTGAAGCCAAACCAGAAACTTCAACTCATGGATCATACATTTGGGATGAGCTATACAACAATATGAATAGAAACATGGCTGCCCCTGTGTGTTCCTCCTCTCTTAAAATCTTACATTCTAACATCAGCTCTTCTGGTGAACTGCTACCTGGTGAATGTCCATCTCCTTCAACATGACAGATCTACCGCACGAATCACATGGTGCGGTTCTAGACCCGCAATGGCTCTCGTGCTCCGAGAGCCCTCGTAATCTGTCTCTCGTGTCCATGGCCGAAATCCCAGCTTGAACCATGTCGCCACAGAAGCGGCATGTGATGAGTCGTAGTGGGCACACAGAAGTTTGGTGTATCACCTGCACCGGATAATTGAACCAACAGTTAGATAAACATACATAAGAATGTTTTTTTTGGAATTTTATCCAGATGTTTCTGTAAAAGAAGAAATCATGTTCATGTACTAGACTGGACGCAATATATCCACTGAAGCCACTAAATCAATCATGTGATGACATGCTATGCGAACAGCGCAATAAGAATACAGAACACAGTGCCATTTCAAGATAATGAGATAAGGGAAAAGGAATCGAGTTGCTTACCATCTGTTCCTTCTCGAGAACCGCACCACAGCCACACTGTAGAGGCTCGTGGAAAACCTTCATGTGCTTGTCGATTTCATCCTTATGAAATGCCTCCCCACACTTGTCGCAGTGGAGGTGGTTCTTGGCCTCGCCAACCCTCAGAACTACACCACAACCGGGATGTTGGCAAACTAGATTGTGCCTGCTGCAATAAGCTTCGTGCAGTGCAATGCTCCTACTGGGTATGAAATGCTTGCAATTTCTGCACTCAACAGTGTCAGCATTCACCGACGCTGATGTAGTCGATCCAGCCTGCTGACCTACTTTGAAGGTGCTATTATCTTGTGCACTCACCAAAACCTTATACTTGGCTGTTCCTTTGAAGCCATAAACACCAATGCTATAAGTTCCCACTCCCAAGTTTTTGTCTTTCGAGGTCAGGATCAGTACTTTCGAACCCATGTCATGCGAAGACCATTCATGTCGGTGTCTGTTCGGGAAAATGAGCGGATGCTTGGAAATGTAAAGATCAGTATCACCATCACCAGTCTCAACGTCAATCTTCACCTCAATCCTAACATCCCCAGAAGAGACGGTCTCCCAAACGAGATCATCAATTGAGAACTTATAGTACTTGTATTTTCCCTCTTCAACCATTCCAGATTCCAACACTCCAAATGTCAGTTGCTTCAACACATGCTGATTGGAGCTATCCAAAGGAGAATCTGACCCCACTATATCAACCTCAACATCTGTCTCAAGAACCGAGACACTCGAGGAGGGTTTCAACTCGAGTACTCTCAACCTGTAAGTTAACACCCCATGGTTAACAGTGATCACATCGCCCTCGGAAAGCGTAGCATGCTGCCTGAGGCTCGTTTCGAGTACAGCCTTGTGATTAGGGATGTCCGAAAAGCCCACCACATCCGGTTGAAGCTTTGCATAAATTCCTTTAGGCAGCCACACATAGCGAACCTCAACTAAAGCAGTTGCAGGAGAAGTGGTGTTGTCTAGGGGGAACAGGTTACTCCATACATGAGGAGGAAGCCCGACTTGACCTTCCTCTGCAGTGAACTCCAGAGCACCAGAATGGGTTTCCTTCTGGTTCGTTTCGGAAACAGCTTCATGATGAACCACGGATAACTGGAAGTACAATGGCCCTTTATCAAAAGCACCTTGATCGGATAACTCAGTGAAACAAGAAGGGGGCAGTTTGATCTTATCCCCACTTCCTTGGAAACCTACAGCTTCTAACACACGAGAGAACACAATTCCTCTCCCGGCAATCAAATTCTCTTGCATTTGCTCATCTGCCTGTAAACGTAAACCAATTTCTCGTAAGGCACATTTAACAGAGGTTAGCATGACGGCAAAGAAAAAGGTTAAAAACTCAAAACATTCTAATCACTAAAATCGAGGGTTCCATACGGAATTCGATCAAAGTTGGGTTCTTTTACCATTTTCGAAATGAACCCAGAAAAGTCTAGATTTCTTCATGAATCGTAAGAAACCAAAATATCGAGGGCAAGAAGGGAGCAATAGGGGTATGGTATGAAGAAGAAGGAGGGTTACCTTGAGTTGGGCTTCGGCAGCTTCGAGCCTCCGGGACCTCTGAACAGCTTCGAGGGCTTCTCGCTGCTTGCGAGCCTCTTCTTTGGCCTTCCTATCCCTTTCGAGTCTCAATCTAGCTCTCTCTTTCCTCTCCTTCTGCTCCTTTTCTAACTTCTCCCTCGCCCTTCTCAGCTCGAAATCCATGATCTAACCCGCTGCCGGAAAGCGGCCTACTTTTCGATTGCGCTCCGATCGCCGGCAAAATGGGTTTCGGGGAAGGAAAGTCGAGACGTGATGTGACCCCGAAGAAATCTGGCAATTTTAGGCAATTTATTGGTAGGTGTGAGGTGTCTGTGTCGGAATTCTTTTCGTCCTCCTCGGATTCAGACTTCAGTTTCCAAATTGGATTTGTTGCTTGGAGTGGAATCCAGAAGAATCTGGGCTTTTCTACCGATCTATTAACGGTAGTCCCACGTACGTATGCACATTAGCCCAAAATATCATCGGCCCATTTGAATGTTACAACAAACTTTGAATTTTCACACCCACGGGAGAGAATAGAAGTAGGGCTGGCTATTTGGACCGGGACCGGATGAAAAACCGGAAACCGGACCGTATAACCCGGACCGGGACCGGATAGTAAACAATCCAATCCAATCTTTGGGCTTAGATTTGAGGTAAAAAACCGGATAAAGATCGGATAAGAGAGATCAACACCCAAAACTTAAGGGTAATTTGCATAAACGGTCACAAACCTTTACACTTAGTACAAAACTTAACCAACTCCTCACCCTTTTAGGCCTTAGGCCACTCAAATTCCCACAATCTCAATATAAAATCAAGACCGAATTGGGACCGGACCGGGTCAAGACCGGACTGTATCCAATCCAATCTTCGGTCCTTATATTCTAAAAAAACCCGGACTGGACCGAATCAATTTGGGCCAATTTAACCGGACCGGACCGTATAGCCACCCCTAAATAGAAGTATAGTGATTACTTAAAAAAAAAAAGAAAATTCTCACATTGCTTACACAAAAAATTTCCAAAATACTAAAGTTTGAACGGGAACGTTGCTCGTATTAGAAGATATTTGGAAGTTGTTCGCTGAAACTGAAAATTAGAGCGAGTAAGGTGGATCACCCAAATCTAAAGTGATCCAAATGTTGTTCGATTAAAACAACAACGCTTTGGTTAGTTAGCGCTGTAAGCACGTGATTGGTTTAGATGAAACATATAACTATTTATTTGTTGTAGAACATGGTTCAAATTTACATATATAGTTGGTAACTAGAATCATAATTAATTCGAGCCTCGCACGTTTCTTTACTCAGTCAATAAAACAATAAGGGATCTGCTCTTTAGGTTTGTAAAACGAATGTGAAGGTTGAAGTGACTCTGAGGTTGAAGTTCCTCTTGTTTGGTTTCAGAATCTAAAGAAAAAAAGGACTACCTATACTATTGGACGAGTGAAAGTGGAAGGAAAAGCGTTGCATAGAAAAGCTCCCTCTATAGTTTCCTTTGATTCGTTTTTGCTACAAGACTGGTTATGCACATATGTGGTTGAATGAATCCACAACGGATTCCTCCACTCACAATGATCTTGTGTCATGCCTTTCCTTCATGACATGCTCGTGGGTTTCACGCTAGGTAGGCATGTGGGATCATCGAAATTATCAAAGTACAAATAATAAGTGTGAACGCAAGCGTACACTAGGCTTTACCATAAAAATAATGTAGAACATGCCACTAAATAAGAATCTAAAATTAGTATAATTTGCCTTACACTTGAACTTTGCTTGTTTCTGAACAAAGCAAACTCATAACCATGCAACTCACCAGACCTCGATATGTTTCGACTACTACATCAACATAATCGAACTCATCGAGGGTGACTGTAGATTAGGTAATAAGTGATTTCTTGGTGAGAAATGAATGACGAAGTGCGAATTTGGAAATGATAGATTGAGTGGAGTGAATAATTGAGAGTTTTGATATATTTTGAGATTTTGTGGTGTTCTATTTTTATTGTGATGAAGATGGATGTATATTTTAGCTGGTGGTACTATTCCAATACCACTGTGGAGAATGTCAAGGGGGAACGTCTTGCAAAGCGTGGAATTGATACTGTTGTATAGTTGCATCTTGGTGAAATAGTTGCAAAGGCGGGCCTCCGGATCAGATGTTCCGTCGAAGCTCGGGAGAAATGGAATGCTCGTGGCACTGGGTTCGGTGAGGATGCCACTGTAGAAACCAATATGATGCAAACTGACAAAATCTCTTATTCCATCAAAAGAAGTTTAAATACAAAAGAAACTAGAGTCTCAAACTCTGCCGCATCACTAACCCTCTTTCCCTAATTTCCAGCTACCACCAGTAACAAACTAACTGCTTCTGCTAACAAATAGCAGCACGTACTTGACCCATATACTAACTCTAACTACTCAACTTGGACCTCAAACTTTAATACCAAACGGCAATGTACTCTAAGAAACTCAACAACCTAAAAACCACATGGTCTTTTAACCCAACAAATCCTCCCCTGAACTGAAGCCCACCAAGCAAAGCTTCAGTTCATTCAAAGGAACCATTTCAATTTTCAACAGCTTTAGTTTGCTGCGACATCTTCCATTTTTCAGCAGCAACTTCGACTTACAGCAGCAAAACTCCCATTTTTCAGCAGCAACTTCAATATTCCATCTTTAGTTTCCCATTCTACAGAACCTCCAGCAGAAACTCCAATGCAATCTCTTTAGAACACATGAAGAACTCACAAACTCCACTAGATAGCCTTTCAAGTACGCCAACCTTCATAGCCATCGAATTACTCACTCCAAAAAGTTTCAGAATCACCCCTTGTTCCTTCAGTGAGTCCAAACTAAACCTTCCATTGAGCTTGCTTCTCCCGCACAGACACAAACTTCTTGATAATTTGATGCTTGAGCTATTATCAACCACGGTTTTAGTCCCACCATTAACACACACATTGACCAACCCATTAGCTTCAAAATCCATCTCGCCCACATGTATAGTATTGTATAATCAGTAGCAGCTACATATTCTGATTCAATGATGAACAGAATTTCCACATGCTGCTTCTTGTAATCACCATATACAACTCCTCTTGATTCTTGACAATTCATGCTTCTTCTCTTATCCATAACACCAGTATAATGTTTAATTATACAACCTTCAAAGCGCATTACCAGGCCCTCCCTTTTGTAGATGATGACATAACCAAGAGTACCATTTAAGTACCATAAGCTTCCGAACAACTTCTCGCACCAACTATCCACCTGCACTCTATCTCCAGCTGCTGTAAACTTTGTTCCATAAACCATGGTATGCAACAAAAGATATCTCACCCCTTCCATATTTGTCATTCGATTTAAAACTACTGCAATAAATCCATATGCAAATATGATAGAAGTGACTACAAAACCTGTGGTGAAGTTAGTCAAACTTACTGCAAAATCAACTGAACATTTGACCAAACCACCTGTGATTAAGTACTTGATAAAACCAGTTGCAGTTAGCCACTTCTTAATTGCCCAGACTTGCAATAGTCCAGCTATTTCAGCAGAAAAAACAGCTGCAAGGCTGACCAACCTTGCTACAAAACCAACTAATCCTTCAGCAATATGAACCCCCAGAACTCCTTGGAAATATCTCATCAATCTACACATAATCACAACATGTCCACTCTGTATAAACTCTTCAAATAATTGTGACCTCATTACAGCTTCTAACAATCTGCTTCTGTAAAGAACAGTATGTACCAAGCCAGCTACAATGAAACACTTCTTAGTTCTTGATACCTGCAGCAGCTCATACAATGCTATTTTGAACTTTGTCTGCTGATCTTCCTCCCCTGCAACCACAAATCCTTGTGGTTGCATCATACAAACCTCTTTAGCCAGATTATTATATGCCCAATAATCGGTGTATGCTGCTAATGTGATTGCTTCTCTATCATTTTCTAAAACACCTAACTCCTCATCACAACCGTTCCATACCAGCATGATCAATTCTGGGAGAGCCTCTAAGTCCCATGTAAAGCCATTAGCCTCATTAACCAGAACATCTTTGCTCACTAATACTTTCTTACTAGAGTTCCAGCTCCTAAGCTCATTCAACACAGGCTTTCCTCTTTTTCCGGTTCTTAAACATGCAGTATACTCGGTAAATTCTTTCTCAATTGAGGCTTTCAATTGCTGAAACTTAGAGAAATCTTTGTTCACTGTTTGATGATGATGCGACAAGACCACAACGATTTGTATGCACCAATCGAGTCTTTTGATCGATAATCCTTTGGCTTCTCCTTGGAAAAATCCTTCGATGCTGTTTACCAAACCGGAAAGTTGAGCATGTTGTTGCAGCTCCTACCATATCCTCTCTTTGCATTGTTGTTGGACCATCATGCCTTATATACAAAGATTCTTTATGCCAAAGATTCAGTTTTTCCACTTGATCGTCAGCCGTAAGACACTGCACTTCACTCGTGACTACATCAGTTAGGGAATTTATTTCTCCTACTCCTATCCATGCTGCTGGTGTTGTGACTTCAGCAGTTGAATCTTTCTCTTGTACTTTTTGATTAGTAGTGCTTCCAACTACTTCTGATATGCTGTCATTTCTTTGGTTCACATTGCACCTGAAACTTTCATTGCTCTCCAACTCGCAATCTTCTAGAAAATCCATCGTGACATGATGATCACCATCTGATATATTCACTTCCACTTCATATGTGCTCTCCAACAAGTGATTTTCCATAAAGAACATCTTACTCTGATTGTCATCATCTGCTCCATTCTCTTTCACTTCATCTGCTGTTACATCCTTCTCTTCCTCAACATAGGCCATCAACAATACATTTTCTTTCATATCATAATTCTTGCTAGAGCAGCATGTTTGTTGAGTGAACCAAATGGGGCATTCATTTCTGAAATGACCCAACCTATGACACTTAAAGCACTCTGTTGTGTCTCGATTCCATATTCTACCATCTCTGCCTCGGCCCTTTTTATGAAAGTTCCCTCTGCCCTGAAAATTGACACTACATTTACCTCTGCCATAAAAGGTTTCACGACCTGTCCTTCTTCCTCTTCCATCATCAAACCCTACCTTGAGAGCTTGATCGCCATCTACAACTCTTCTGCTAAACTTCTGCTCATGTACTATTAAAGAACTCTGAAGTGCATCTACAGACAAAGTGTCTATATCTTTTGACTCTTCAATAGCACATACAACATAGTTGAATTTCTCAGTAAGAGTCCTAAGTATTTTTTCAACAATTTGGACATCAGATAAGGCCTCTCAGCAGCTTCTCATAGCATTAGAGACTACCATGACTCTGCCAAAATATTGATTCACAGTCTCACCTCCTTTCATCTCTAACATCTCAAAGTCACGCCTTAGAGCTTGAAGTTGAGCACGTCTTACCCTGGCACTCCCTTGGAACTTTGTCTTCATTGAATCCCACAACTCCTTTGCAGTTGCTTTATGAGTAATAGTTTTCAGAATCATCTTGTCAATGCTGCTAAACAAGTAATTTTTCGCTTTGCAATCCTTCAATCTCAATTCCTCCAAAACTTTTTCTTCGGCAGCAGAGATCTCAACTCCAGCCTTTGGCTCCTTGATTCCTTCACACACAACAGTCCAATATTCCACTGAACGCAACAAATTCTCCATCAAGAGACTCCAATAATCGAAATCTCCATCAAACTTAGGAATACCCACTTGCACAAAGCTTGAATCCATCATGATCACTACTCACTGACACACAACACTTATAATATATCACTGTCTTTTCACTCACCAATGATATACCAACTCTCCAGAGCTCTCGTGTTTCCCTAAACCCAATTTGAAACTCACCAACACTCAATCACTCTTGTATGAACTTGGTTACAGTTTGCTATAGGCTCTGATACCACATGTAGAAACCAATATGATGCAAACTGACAAAATCTCTTATTCCATCAAAAGAAGTTTAAATACAAAAGAAACTAGAGTCTCAAACTCTGCCGCATCACTAACCCTCTTTCCCTAATTTCCAGCTACCACCAGTAACAAACTAACTGCTTCTGCTAACAAATAGCAGCACGTACTTGACCCATATACTAACTCTAACTACTCAACTTGGACCTCAAACTTTAATACCAAACGACAATGTACTCTAAGAAACTCAACAACCTAAAAACCACATGGTCTTTTAACCCAACAGCCACCGCCTATGAGTAAAGACCAAAAAAATCCTACCAAGAATCTCATAACAGGCGTGACATCTGGTTCATCTAGAGCCAGAGGAAGCTAGAATGATCTCCAGGTAATTCATATGGGTCCACAGTAGATGAAATACGACTTTTAACAGTAAGTTCTTTGTACATTAACTTCAAAACCGTAGGCATGTAATGTAGCTAGCAAGGTGTAATATTTTAAGAGGCCCTCGTGTTTAAATCGACCAAAATGATGACATCTTTAGTAATGTTGCAATACACTTATTCTTATTTCAGATCACAATGTCTGTTAAAGCAGAAAAGATAAGGTCCTCTCACCTACTGTTGGGAGGAAGAATATTTCAGATCACAATGTCTGTTAAAGCAAAAAAGATAAGGTCCTCCCACCTACTGTTGGGAGGACGTCCTCCCAGCGAAGAATATAATATTTGTGTAATGATAATATAGTATATGATCTACAGGAATACATATTCGTCCAACAAGAAATATGTATTCTTATAACAGATAGTAGTATGAAATCAAGCTTTCAAGAATATGATATTTATGTTATGAGAAAATAATATTCTTGAATGCTTGATGATATTTATGTTATAAGAATATATTTTTCTTGTTGGATGAATATGTATTCCTGTAAATCGTATACTATAATATCATTACACAAATATCATATTCTCCGCTGAAAAAACGTCCTCCCAACAGTAGGTGGGAGAACCATATCCGATCCGCGGCAAGGTAAGATACAGTTTTACTGTTTTAGAAAGGCCACCCCACCAATCAAAATTCAACAAAGGCAACCGCTTTTGATCAAAAGTCAACCTTTTAACTTTTCCATTCACGCCACTTCACACACAGAAACTTGACACCCAAGAAACCGCAGGAGGTAGCGGCTTTCCTTCGTCAGCCAATATCTCAAGTTGTGTCAAACATTTCAAGTTCCTAGAAAGCAACTGTCGTCTGTTAGGGAGGGACCATTTTCCCAAACCTATCCCCTTGCCTCAAGCCAAAGAAAAGATCTTTTCTCTTTCTAGTTGATCCATTCAAATCAAGAAACGATCTTGCTGCTACAAATTCTGAAGACTTTGAATTTCCACCCCCCACCCCCGTGAATTCGCTTCAGCTGCTGCTGCTGCTACACAATGACATTTACAGAGAAAAACAACAAAGATGGGAGGTATACGACTATGACCCGAGAGAAACCCCAATAATATCTGTGTACTATTCACACGATTCAAGAAGGGATGAGACGAGGGTGGGAGAGAGAATTACTCTCTTCCCACTTCTCATCTTCCTGACATCAGATTGACAAGAGCTTGGTTATCGTAGAAGGAGCCAACATCCCAATCTTCTGTCGAGGATGACAGCGTCATTAGAGCTACAACAATGGATCTCATGCTCGGACGTAGTTGGGGGTTCTCTTGCGTGCAAGCCTTGGCAAGTTGGGCCATCTGTAAGCATCCACCAAAAGAGTGGTACATTAGTTTATTGATCTAATGTTAACAGGACATGAGGTGTTCCCAGACAGAGCTTGCTGCTTGATTTTACCTTTCGAACTGAATCGAGTGGATAGTTATCGCCCAGCCTTGGATCGACCAGTTTTCGGATATCTTCTTGTGGATCAGGGTGGTCTAGGACATCCTCAAACTGTTCCGCACATTAAAACAAGCAGGCAGCCTCACGGAATGAGAAGTCCAGAAAGAAAAATTCAATACAGACGAACCAAAACTTTCAGCTCTGATAGCCAATTCAAGAGCAGAGACTTCTATAACCGATTTCAATCTGTCGACACCAGTTGTGCCTTTGGTTGATCAAATAACTGAATTCGCAATCAAATACACTAGCACGTAGCAAGTTATAACTTCTACTCTTAAAGTCTAATTGTACAATAATGTGGTTTGTTTAATCCTTTATCCCTTTCCAATTCTACCTAATTCTCTTCTACTCTTTTCCTATGAAACCCCAAAATGTCATATTCCCAGACAACATATTTTAAGAACTCTCCCCTACAAAAGTCTATATATATTGAGACAGAACCTAGCCACTTCGCAATAATTAACTTTTTAATAAAAACTTTTTGCATGCATTTATACTTTCGCAACTTCTTCAATGGACCTCCTCTATGTTGAATCAAACGGAGTCGTCACACAAATTCAATGATAAGACAGACGGAAAACTTACCAATGCCACAAGTCCTCTAGATTCCGTATTGGATCCATTGGGCTTAACAATGGCTTCCTTGGCTGAAATAAGCTCATATAGTACAACTCCAAATGCATATACGTCCACTTTTGGGGAAACATCACCATATTGAGCATATCTGCATAAGGTAGAGAAGGGGGGAATTCACAACCACATTAGTTCTTCAAAAATAAGAATGCTTCTAGGTTCTTTATATCATACTTCTAGGTTCATTTGTAGTATTGTCTTGTTAAAATGCTTCCTAAAGATAAGTTTAATTTTAACATACTACCCGGAACTTACTCTGGAGGCATGTATCCGAATGTACCAACCAGACGTGTGGGGAGCGAGGTACTTCCAACCTCGGTAAGTTTCGTCAATCCAAAATCTGCTACCTGTATATCAACACACAATATTCAGCACAAGAAAAGCCATTGCCACGGGGCAGTGAGCCAAAAGAGATGCTGATGGGGCAAAACCTTTGCTCTGTAGTTCTTGTCGATCAATATATTTGCAGACTTGATATCTCGGTGAATGTATACGGGAACAGTATGCTCGTGGATATACTCAAGGCCTCTAGCAGAATCGAGTGCAATTTGCACTCTGCCAGGCCACGTTGGTGGCTCCCTCTCTACAAAATAAGCAAACAGCATCGTCAGCTCCATTAGTTTCGTAAAGTCCAACTGCAGCCGACGACTTTCCCACAGTGTATTCTGCCGACTCACCAGTGCTACGCAAATGTTGAGACAAGTTTCCATTCTCTATGAACTCATATACCAGGAAAAGAGATCCCTCCACACAGTATCCAATCAGACGGACCTAAAATTGAAGTTACAAAAAACACACGACTAAGCTGCTGATAGGGTCATGTAAAACAATACTAATAAATGGAAGGGGAAAAAACTGCTGATAAGGCCCACAGAACATATGATTCATGATTGTGTATGAGCAGTTATGTTAGCAGTTCAACGATCTCTATCATCAAGAAAATTCCTAGACATCCAAAGGTCGAAATAACATCTAACATCACTAAAAGTATGATGGCACAGAATCGTAGCTAAATATTTGTCATCTCTTAGGAGTGCCCATAGGACCGAGTAAACTGCAGTGATAATGTTCAACATGGTCTACGTACAGTCGTGACTTACTGGACTTGCGTTCAAGTTTAGCAAGTCACTAAGTTATACATGGAAGTGCTGTATCATTCTAACAACACACAAACTAAGGTTCCAGTAACTGAAAGAAAGAGATTTACCAGGTTCAGGTGATGAACATGTGTTAAAACCTTGAGCTCAGCAAAAAATTCCTTTGATGCTTGCATGTCCATCTTCTTGATTGCAGCTTTCTGCATCAGAGAGTCAGAGATGAATGTCCATGAAACAGAAGATAGTTTGTACTATAACTCAGAGAACCTATTATGCCAAGAGTCCTAATCAGAGATGTATATTTAGCATATGACAATAGACGGTATTGGGCTGCACTTTTCAGTTTTCAGTCAAAAGAAACAGGATGCAAGGTGTAGAGCTTATAGGTTAGCAGAAATCACAAAAATCTAGCTTCAATGATAACTGCTCGAGATAATTCACAAAGGCAACAAACCTCGCCCCTTAATTCTGCATAGTAAACAGTTCCAAAGCCACCTGCACCAATCTTATTGGCCAAACTGAAGTCATCGGTAGCCTTTGCTAGTTCTTCATATGAGAATTCCACTGATTTGTCCACAGTAATGCCGGTAAGTCCTCCAGATGCCGCCCCACTAGGTGATTCGAGTGGCTTATCTGAGTGAGCTCCAGGACCTGCACCAGGTGAGATAAATAAAAGGTTAATTGCTATAACACATTTACTCCCTTCCGTGAACCAAATAAATATGAAAAGATATGTAAATACGACTTTGAAAGCTAAAAATTACTAGCTTGCCTTGGGCAGAGTAGCCTAGTGATAAAGCTGGCAACTGTACGGTCCCTGCCACCTTCTTCTTCTTCCTGTAGAACTTGACATATACACAAACAGCCAACAACAAGACCACAGCTACAGCTGCTATTGATATGCCAGCTATCAATCCCCCAGATATGCCTGTTTATATGAAACCATATATAAGCTCAAAGATGAATGAAGCCTATTGAAGTTTTGCAAACCAGCAAGCAGAGAGGTACAAACCACCAGAAGAGCTGCAAAATGGAGAACAACAGATATTAATGTCAGAGAGTTTAATGAGGCGTCCTTAAACTTCCAGGCTTCCAGCAGGACAAAATCTTTATAGAATATTATAGAAGGATATAAGCAATCAAAAATTACCTTGAATTCAAGGGGCGGTAGCTATTGCTTGCATCTGCAAGAGAAAGAAAAGCTTTGGTTAGGCACATCCATGAAGTTATTTAGAAGCTAAAGCTCATAGTATTACATGAAACTGCATCTTCTGAATCTTAAGAAACCCTATGAAAAGCCTGCATCTGAGGTTCGATTCTCTTGAGGTGATACATTTACTTGTACAGACAACAAATTCCAGTATCTGAATTCCTAAATATCCTAAATACCACAGATTTCTCCATTTGTTTGATTCACCGCAAAATGGGACAAAGAAAACAAGTCACATTCAGAAGGCGATCCATCCTTCCAAACTTCTCCAGGGAATATACATGGATCTAATCCAATATATGATTGAATCCATTCAACCAAATGCCGACTGAAGTATTTTGAGTAGAACTTCCAACTAAACTAATTCCATGTTCTGTTCTATTCATGATCAGAAAAGTATACACGCCAAAGCACAAGCACTATGCACAATAAATAACCGTTCAAATCCTAGCCTTCTTGGGATTGACTGCCTAACTTCATCACTAGTTACCCCATATTAGCAAATCAATAATCCAAAGTGGAGATAAAATCACCTCTGCCTGGAACAAAAACCAAATCCCTCCCGCTACTGAAATTGGCACCAGCATTATAGCGCTGCAGCAAATCCGCCGACACATTACTTCCCCGGGCAATCGATTCCAAAGTATCCCCCTGCCTGAGCGGGTAAGTAACAAACAGCCCATAATCCCTCGAAATCGAACTGTCCCCACACGAGCAATTCACGGTGACATTCACCACGGCGTTCCTATCAGGGATATTGTTGGGAGGGTAGGAATTGAACCTCCGGAGCCAGTCAACGGTGGTCAAATTCGCGTAATTCCTGCCGGCGATCAGGTCGTAGGTGTCCCCGGTGACCGTCGGGTAGAGGAAAACGTGGCCCAGGAGCTGCCCGTTGATGCATTCGCAAGGGAAAGGGACGTTGATCCGTGTGTCCTGCTGAACGCTGTCCTTGTTGGGTATCTGCCTGTTGTAGCTCAGCAGGGCGTCGAAGTCGGTCTCCCGAAGAATGTTGGATTTCATCAGCTGGAGGATGTAGGTCAAATTGCTGCCTTCCCAGACGTAGTAGGAAGCCAACGCCAAATCGCAGCCCCGGTTACATTGGGAATTGACGACGGAGCTGCTGAGAAACGACAGCAAGACGAAGAAACCAAGACCCAGATTCCGGTTCATCAAAAGGCCAGAACTTTTGGGGCCCTTTGTTGGTACCATTGACTAGGAGGGGTTTACCATAAACCCCCCAAAACCCAGATGGGGGAAACTCGTAGAAGAGATCGAAGCAGCTTCGGGATGGCGTGTGTAGAAGGGTTTGAGATGGAGTTGGAGGAGGAAGAAGAAGGAGAAGAAATTGAGAGGAGAGGGTTGAGGGAGGGAGCGTTGACTGGGGAAAATGGTGGGAGGTCTGATGAAAAGACAATGACGAGGGCTGCAGAAGGCGACATTTTTGAAGAAGGATTAAAGAAATGGACATTTTCTTAGGGGATGAATAATCTTCCAAGAGGGATGGTGGTCTAGTGGGATGATTGATTTCCCGCTGCGGGGTTGTCGCGTTCCGGCAGTTTGTAACAGTTAAAAATTGGTAGAGTCGAAGCCGAGCCGGGGCCCGGTGATGAGTCGTGTGACTCGGAAAGAACGGTGATGATGATGGCGATGGCGACTGCAATGGCGGGGGACGAAGATTGGGTTAAGCGCGTGGCGGGTGGTGTTTCGCCTTACGACTTCCGAGCCCGACTGCTGTCGGGTTGAGCCGGGACAACTGATGGACGGATTTGGGCCCAGTTAGGTATTGGGCCAAAACCGTGAGTGAAATCAATAAAATACTTGATTTGTTTAGATAAAATATTGGTGTTTGTAAAATTGTATCATATAAGCGGTTGAATTGAAAATAGTAAAATATCTTTTATTGAAATTTAAATTGATAGACGATTTTTTAACAGTTTGAAAAAGCTGAAATATAGTTAAATCACAATTTTAGTAAAAAATATTCTATCGTTGATTTTTCCGATACAACCTCCAATACAATTTTACAATTAAAAAAATAAAAAGGAACTTGATTTTGTATCAATTTTGTCTCCAAATTTGAATTTGTGTACAGGTAATACATTCAACATTTGTAATCGGTGTTGAGATAACTAAAGTAGGAAGTTCGTCCTAGTAAATTACAAGTTTCTTTTATAACTTATGTGGATATGATACTGTCTTAGTGATATGATAGACACTTGCAAATCCAAACTGATGATTTAAGTTTTAGAAAGATACTATGTTGGTAACATAACGGCAAAACTAATAAAGAAAATCGCTAACCATAACAAATTAGGGAAAGTCTATTGATTAACTTGGTTCAGTACGAAATGAAGCACGCCATGTTCACTGCTTCTACCCAGAATCTTCTCTCTAGTCCAGCATTAGAGAGCATGCATCGTGCTCTCTCCAACAATGTCTGGTTTCATCCTTTGTGCTAGGGGTGTTAGTCGGTTCGGTTACGGTTAAACAGAACCGACAAGTCGGTTAACCGCAGTCGAAAGCGACCCAAAACCAGCGACCGCCACCGCCACCGATCCTCTTATCGGTTAGCCAAAACCGAGGCCGACTAATTGCGGTTCGGTCTTTTAGTCTCCGAAAACCGTGCCTATAATTATATAGGAGAGAGACCAATAATTGAAAGGGGAAAATTGCTCCCGTCTCTCTCACAAAAAAAGCCAACTCTTTTGAGTCTTTTCCAATTTCTTCTCTGTCCACGTCTTCTCTCTCTTGCTCTCTGTTTCCACTAGATCTACCTTTGTTCAACAAAACTAAGCCTCCACCAAAAAATTCGAACACTACAAACCATTCATCCAAATCCCATGGCGGGTTTAACCTAATGCCTCGACCACCGCCTCCTCATTCTCTCCTACCTTCTTCGAAACAACACGACGGCGTAAGATGACAAACTATGAGGACGGCAGGGAGGCGGCCGGCGGGAACATGAAAGGCGATCTTCGACTCCTGCCATCAATCCCGACAGCGATTTCAGCAACGACGACCACCTCGACTCCTTGCATGTCCACGATCGAGAATGAGGAAGGAAGGGAAGCGAGGAGGATGCAAGGCAAAGTGGGGGCGACAAAGATTGACGACGATAGTGAGGTTGCGATTGGCGACTATTCACTCATATCCAGTGGGTGGATCTCGATTCTTACCTATCACACACCATAGATCCCCGCCGCCGAATATCACGGCTAAATCTCGCCGTTCGAAGAGAGGCGGAGATCCCAGAAGGAAGATGATGAAGAGAATCGCGGTGGTTGGCAGATAAGGAGGTTCTTGACGATGGTTTGAGCAGTTGATGCTCGAGGAAAGAATTGAGATTTGAGATGTGGTTAGTGTTTTCTGGGTCGGCAAAAATTGAGATTGGGTGTTAGGAATTTGGAATTCAGGGGGTGCAGGTTGAATGGTGAGATTGGGAAAGGAAGGTAGAGAGCGGCGAGAGGAAAGGAGAGGTCTAGCGGTTAGGAGCGGTGCACCGAGTATTTCTCGGTTAGCAACCGGCAACCGCCGGTTATCAATATTTCCCTAAAATGACAACTGACGCCGACACCGACACCGCATGCATTGTAATCGGTTTTCGGTTATCCGACTAACCGATTTTTCGGTTCGGTTTTTTGGTTAACCGGACAACCAACACCGGATTATCACCCCTACTTTCTACAATGCCATTATGCTGTGGTGTATCTCTAACGGTCCGATGATGGGCAATCCCTTCATCCTTGCAGAATTCGTTGAACTCAGAATTACAGAACTCCAAACCATTGTCCGTTCGCATCTTGTTGATCTTCTTCCCGGTCTGATTCTCCACCAATGTCTTCCACTGGTTGAACTTCGTGAAAGCCTCACTTTTCTGCTTCATCATGAAAAGCCAAGTTAATTTCGAATAATCATCAATAATAGATAGAAATACCTGCTGCCTCCAATGAATTCAACTCGTGAAGGACCCCAACAGTCGGAGAGGAAATAATCCAGTATCCCCTTCGTCCGGTGGATACCCTTCTTGGGAAACTTGCTGCGATGTAGTTTCCCAAACATAGAATGCTCACAGAATTCCAAATTCTGCACCTTGTGCCCGCAAAGAAGATCCCTCTTCGATAGAACTTGCATTCCTCGTTCACTCATATGCCCCAGTCTCATGTGCCAGAGAGTGGTCATATCTTCCTGATGAACCTGAGACGTTGCAACTACAACAAAACCAGACAACACAGACCCTTGTAATGCATACAAGGTCCCACGCTTCACGCCCTTCAGCACCTTTAGCACCTTCCTTGAACCTTTGCAGACATACACAACTCCAACTTTTCCTTTGAAGCTGAAACCCTTGCTGTTGTGTAGACTCATAGAGATCAGGTTCTTTGTCATTCGTGGAACATGCCTGACATCATTCACAGTACAGAACCAACCATCATGTGCCCGAACCTATATGGACCCGATTCCAACAACCTTGCAGACAACTTCATTTGCCATGACCACGTTACCACCATCTATCTGCTCGTAGGTTGTGAAGCAATCCCTGTTCGGAGACATATGGAATGAGGTTGTAGTATCCTGAAACCACACATCCCCACAATGTGTCTTCTCATCTACAGCCAAGGCGAGATCGTTTTCAGAACTGTTGTCCACTTCTGCCACAACAACTGAACCTTGTTTCTTCAGTTTCCCTCTTCTCCTGGGATAGTTGTACTTCCAATGCCCCACTTCCTTACAGTTGTGACAAGCATCACCTGGCTGTGGACCGGGACCCTTGGAATTCTTGTTCGAATTCCCTTTACCAGATTCCCTTTCCCTTTCCACCTGTAACAGCCAAACCCGATGCCTCACCACCTGTACCAGATCCAGACGCCTTATGCCTGATCTCTCTCATATGAAGAGCATACCAGACATCCTCCAACGGCACGCTTTCTTTACCGGCAATAAAAGAATCAACGAAATTCTCATATGAACTCGACAAAGAAACCAGCAGGATTAGGGCAGCATCCTCGTCATCAACTTGAACATCTATATTACGCAAATCCAGCAAAATAGAGTAAGCTGTTCGAGATGTTCCCTCAAAGGCGTACCTTCTTGCATCCTCAAGCTGAACAACCGTTGCTTGAGATGCAGCTTGTTGGTTAACGACTTCGCCATATACAGACTCTCCAACTTTAAACCACAAGCCCGCGGTAGCCTTCTCAGCAACGACTTCAATTATGACGTCATCAGACAACGATAGCATGATGGTCGAGTGGGCCTTCTCCTCTAGGGTATTCCACTAATCGTCATCGACCGCTGCCTTTTTCTGTTTTGCAGATAGCGGCCCACAACCCTTGCTGTTTTAATAAAGCTTGCATCTTGATCTGCCATATAGCGAATCTGTTCTTCCCCATGAACTTTTCGATCTTCATGTTCACCGACGTCATTCTTCTGAATTGAAAACCCTAGCCTGATTTCAAGCCGCGACTCTGATACCACTTGTTATAACGCGCTGCTACGAATCGGGAAATCCCCGGAATCGATAAAGCAAGAATACGAAAGAGAGAATCAAAAAATACAGACACACGATTTACGTGGTTCACTAACACGATGTGTGTTAGCTAGTCCACGGGCGAGAGAGAGCCAGTTTTACTATATCGAGGAGATTACAAATTACAGAGGAGTATGAGAAGTATTTATAGTACTTCTCCATGCGGGTCTAAACCTAATCCAATATGGCAAAGGAAACGGTTATAGACCAGGCCCAAAATCCAAACCCAAATGACATTGAGCCCATACACCGCGGGCCGGGGTCGTTGCCCCTGGAACCCGCTCGCTGACCGGGCAACGAGACCCCCGACTACCAGTCGTAGCGGCTGATAGTCCGATTCAAGTCACATCACCATCAACAAATACCACATTTACACGATGTGAACTCCAAACCAAACATACAAGATTCCTTAGAATTTACCATTGCATTCCTTATATTATGTTCTTGACATGCACTATATTTTAACCACAACACAAAACCCTAGTGGAAAGCTAGTTTTAGTGGGGGTTTGGTGCCAAATTAGTGGGTTCTTGTTCAAAATCAACCTCCACCAATACAATAAAAAAAAGGTTTATCTCTTTTCTTACTCCACATGCATCCTTATTAGTGTTCATTGGATTTCAAATGTTTGTCATCTAAATTTGACAAGTCTTAGCACTCCGCGTCTTTTCTTCTTGCCCCCCTCACGCCCACGAGAAATTTCTGCAAAGGCATTTTCTGGTGAGGAAAATCTGGTGTTTGAACTCAATTAATGCACCTTGACTTCTTGAACAACGAAAATCAACACGGTTCACTGCTCTTTTAACAATGTTCAAACGAGGGTGTTTTATATTTTTTATAGCTAAATGAGACACAAGCTAAGTTAAATTACTCATACTTCTATGGAGGTTCAGTGAGAGCTCTCGGAGCTAAAAGCTACGACTATGGCTACATTGAAGGTAAAAGATAAAGTTTGACATTTGGTGTCAAATATTTGGTTG